TGTTAACTTATGAACCGAAAGTAAATTGTAAGCTAAGGTACATGATGAATATTTGAAAGTAAAAGCTTACGCGTGGGAGTAGAAATGAGCCCTTGGCCAATGTGAGCGACAGGGAGCTGTTGTCCATTACCCACAGATATAGAGTTGGCACCTTTATAGTCTTGGACATTGTGAAGTAGATGTGCATTGGCTGTAAGGTTTTGAGTAGCACGGCTGTCCAAGATCCACTACTAGTCTGTATGGGACATATAATTTTGAAATAAGGGCAGTAGTGGGCTGGTAGATATGATCATGCGTGTGCCAACATTGAAATGCAAAGTGCCCAATTTTGCTACATATTTGGCAAGTCATGTTCTTCTTGCGGTATTGGTAGGGATCCGAACACCATTTGATTTCGAGGAACCAAACTGGTTCTTTGAAAGGCCACCATTTTGCTGATTTCGGTTGAGATAGGAAGTAGATTGACTTTTGTTCCTGCAGTGATAGGTTGCCGCCAAAGCAGTGGTGTTGTGTGGTTCAGCATGTTTGAGAGCTTCTTGAGCTAGAGTAAGTTCCTCGCTGCATAGGATGGTATTTAGATCATCTAAGCTAATTGGTTGAAGTTTTGAAGGCATGATACTTGGTAGACCATTAAGAGTATAGAGTATTATATCTTTAGCATCAAGAATTACTCCCGCCGTGGCAAGAATATTAACTCTGTCTTTGATGTTGGAAATGTATTTAGTCATGGTTCTATCACCTTTTGAGATATTATGAAGTTCGTTTTTAAGTTGTAGAATACAAGATCGATTTGAGGATTGAAGTCTCCGTTCAACTGTGTTCCATTTTTCAGTATAGTTTTCTTCATTAAGAAGATAAAGTGGGATGGATGGTGAAACAACAAAGTAGCCGACAACAGTAAGATTTTGATCCATAAAAATCCATTTTCTATAATAAGGATTAGGAATAGTATTTCCCGAGGATTCTTGGATGAATTTATGAGGACAACAACAAGAACCATTAAGAAATCCTTCAGATCCATTGACACCAAATAATTTTAGTACTTGTTCCTTTCATATGGGATGATTGTCAGCGGTAAGGGCCGTAGGGACAACATTTTTTATATTACCTAATAGAAATTTTAGTTGGATAGGAATTGGGCGATCAGTAGGAAGGGAATTGTTGGAATTGGTATCCATCACAATATTCATGGAAGAGTTAGAATGAGTGCTCATGAAAGAAATAAGCAGTCCTTGATGGCAAGCATCAAAAGCATGAAAGAATACAGGGAAAATTGAGGGAAAATAGAGGTAAGTTTCCTCGGAGGAACAACCAAAAAGAGTAGGACAGAAGCAAATTTTGAATGCACAAATCAGTAACAGTGGATGAGAAGAAACGAAACAGAAGAGAACCACCTGTAGCTTCGGCAAAAGAACACGCCAATATGACAAAATGCTAGCACAAGTGAGAAGATGAGGAGGCATATGCTGAAGATGCGAAGCAGAACAGAAAGAAGAATTCACCAATGAGTAGATCAAGAGTGAAAGAAAATTGTCAAGAAGCAGACAACTCTGATACCATGAAAACAGAAGAATGCAGAGAAGAAGAATGGAAAGAATGAATTAAATTATGTATTAGAGCTAGGGCTATCAACGAGCCGAGCTTAAGCGAGCTCAGGCTTGACTCTTGTTTGGCTCGTTCGAAATTGGCTCGTATTCGAAATTCACTCCTGAATAGTGTGTTCATGTTCGGCTCGGAATTGACTCGCTAAAATTAATTGAAAAAAATTGATGTAGAGTGTTGGATTCGAACCTGGAACAAATATTTGCAAAAGAAGACACATAACCACATTGCCATACGAGATGTTATGATTTAAACTTAGATATAAATATATATAATATATTATTATATAAATAATTATATGATTTTTTTTTATTTCTAGTTAAAATGTGCCGAACACAAGCGAACAAAGAGTTCGTGTTCTAATCGTTTATAATTTGAGCTTAAAAAATTATTCGTGTTCGCCTCTTTTACTTAACGAACGAGCCGAACACGAGTTTTTCTCGAACAACGAGCTTTTTTGATTGCCTTAGTTAAAGCACTACCAAAAATGAATGCATAGATAGTCCTTTTTATATATACAAAGTAATAAACCCACACTTGACTAAAAGCAAAATGAACCAGACCGGTTAAAAAATAAACCGAACCAAAAGCCTGTATCGGTACATTAACAATAAAACTTTCATAAATCAATGTTTTACTCTACTATTTATCTACTTCGATGTCGTACTGATTTAGTTTTAATTAGCTCCTATTTGAAAGCAATGATCTATTATTGTAGAGGCAATTAGGGCCTAATTTACTAAAGTGTTGTTTGGTTCATTGTCATACGCTTTGTCTTAATAGATACCAGTTGTTTGATTTTTGCAGATATCGTTGAATACCAATTAAGGGAAATTTACATGCATACCACTCAATTCTTATGTATGTACATATCTTACACTCAAAGTTTGATATTTACACTTATAACACCTTGGTATCACAAACCTATGCATGGAAAGGTGTATTTCACTTTTAAAAAGGTAATTACAATGGCATTTTTTATTTGATGTTAAAGATTTGAGTGGTATGCATGTAAATATGAATGTTTAGGTGTTAGTTATGTAAATACATAATTATGTAAATACATAAAATACATAAGAATTGTGTGCTATGTATGTAAATGCCCCATTTCATAAATAACATTCATGGTCAAATCTAACCAGGTTTAGATTTCAGGCTATTTAGCAGATGAAATAAATGACTAAAAAAATATTCAAATTGCCGAAAATAATTCTAGATAACATGCTATTGTTAAAATAAGATAATATTCGATACTGACAAGTGCTTTAAAAAACAGTATTTATGGTTGCTAGTTTGTAATTGGTGTCTACTAGTGGCTTGCCAGCTGTTATATGATAATTTATTTTGGTTAGTCTTATAGAGTCCAAGTTGCTATTTTGTTAATACTACGAGCCATTTCATAATGTTTAATGTCATTTAGTATAGTTATAAATTATGGAAAACTAACTGCAAGCAGTGAGAAAAAAGTTTTTATTACCTTATTTATTATATAAGTTGTTAAAAAGCTATTTAGCAGTGAAATAAATGACTAAAAAAAATCAAGTTGTCGAATATCATTCTAGATAACATGATTTTGTTAAAATAAGATATAATATTTGATGCTGACAAGTGCTTAAAAAATCATTATTTATAGCTAGTTTGTTATTGGTGTTTACTGGTGGTGGCTTGCCAGGTGTTATATAATAAATAATTTTGATTAGTCTCATAAAGTCTAAGTTGCTATTTTGCTATTACTATGAGCCATTAACAATTTTTAGTCATTTAGTAATTATAACATTATGATTAGTAGTGGATAAGTTGTAAATTATGGAAAACTAACTGCAATTAGTGAGTAAAAAGTTATTGTTGCCTCATTTTTAATTTAAGTTGTTAAAAAGGCAAATATATTGCTAGACGCTTTCCACTCGATCAAATTCGGAGGAGGGATTAATTGTTGCATCCTCAACTCACTCTATATTATAAAAAATTGGGAATTTTACCTACATATCGCACAATTCTTTTGTACTTTTATTTTAAACACCTAAAGTATGATAACACTTTAGTGCTATAAATCTATTTATAAAAGGTTTTCACTTTTGTAAAGTTAGTAAGATTGGTTTTTGATGTGATGTTAATGATTTTAGCTGTATGCATGTAAATATGAAAGTTTAAATTTTAGACATGTAAATATATAAGAATTGTGTGATATGTATGTAAAACCCCTAAAAATATGTTTTCATGTTTACATCATTTCCGTTTTTTTGGGTCCTCTTTAATTCTATAAACTATTGATTTTTTTTTTAATTAGGATAACATAAATTCATATTAACATCATCACATACCACTTAGAAGTTGGAGCCAAGGTCACATCTATTTTATACCATATAGAATATGATATTCCAACCATTTCTTAGGATTATCTAATTCTTCGAATTAGCATTCCTAATTTTGATGAAATCTCCTACCTTAGTTGATAAATGAATTTTGCGTCTGTGATCATTTCTATGACTGCTCCGATTTCTGTTTTAAGCAAACTATATACCATAATGTCATAACTCAAAAAAGTTGCAGACAATTTAGTTGTCATAATGTATGCTTTTATTCAGTAATTTTCTAACCCCGTGAGATGTTTTGCTATTCTGTTAGGGTTGATAAGTCAAATGTCCATGGTTTAGTAAGCCTTATATTTTTTCCATCAGTTCTTGCCTGTTGTTTATTTTTTAGACTATAAATTAGCGTCATTCTGGATAATTTTTTATTCTAGCTGGTTTTGAAGATAACAAGTTGATATAATTTCCAATTAAACATATGTGCCAAGGAACAGCGAAAACATCTGCAACAGTGGGCAGTTTACAATAATACTCTTTTCTATTTATCTTCCAAGGCTATTTTTCTTAAGAAGTTCTAATTGAATAACAAACATTATTGCTACACTGTTGAATAGAGTTTTTTTCAGGCTAAGAATGAGTAATTCAATAAGATTTTGTATGATTGGGGCCAATTTTTTTAGCAGAATGGGGAGATAAACTAGTGGGGGGCACAAGTCTTTTAAGGCATTATTTCAATTAATATATTTACTCATTTTTTTTCTTACAAACATCCCTAGTATTAATAGTTTGGTCTCAAGTTTACCTTGGTATTTGCACTAGTCCATTATCTTCCAAATCTTCTTTCTTGGTCCTTACAGGTTTTGCCAGATCAGCATTTTGGTCTATTTTTTCTTTAAAATATTTGTGGCATGCCATTACTTCATACTGCAATAACGAAGTAAATTATCATTTGTATCGCCAACTGGAAAGATACCCTTAAAATTAATCGTTAGTGATGTGTAAGAGATGCTTTCTATTTGCTTACATAAAAGCATACTTCATCATCTTATCCAACTCCAAGTTTTTTGTAACTAAAATTGCAATTTTCAGTTCAGTTTCTCAAAAAGTTCTATCATGAGTAGCTGTGTGAAGCCGATAGAGCAGAATAAATCAGAACCAGTTGTTCTCCTCCATAGTTTTGACAGGTATACCAACTTCTTTTAACAATAATGTGTACTCCAACATTCTTGCATTGAAAAGATGGTCCAACATTAATACATGTCTACCTCATATGCAAACAATTGATTTATTCACTAGAGCAATCATTTGGTTATATGAGATTATAAATCAATGTTTGTTTTAAAATCTACAAATAACTTATAAACCCTTTAAATATGTTGATTTCAATTTCACATGCAAAAGAAGTTAGAATGCAATTAATAATTTTTAAACGGTGGCTTTTATCTACAAGAAACCAAACGAGCCCCATGTACTTTAATGTAAGTCATTACCAGTTGTTACATTAACCTTTTTCCATGATTAAATTATTCTGTTGACCAGCCATAAATAGGTACTTCAGTATAATATACATCAATTCCAGGTTTCATAAGGTCTATTTTACCATAATTAAACTATTCTGTTGGCCATACTTTAGCCACTCAGAATGTCAAATTGATTTGAATCCCTCCGCTGCAACATGCTTCCCTGGAGTTAGCTAAATTTTCCTTTTACAGTAGCTACCATCACAGCAACAAGCTCAGAGATTTTTTTACCACTCTCGTGCATCTAATTTTTATGTGTTGTGAGCCTTCATAGTTTTCATGAAATTATGGGAGGTCTTCACCATTTGATCCAAAGTTCAACTAAAGTAGTTATGCAGTTCGTGTTTAGAATGGAGATATGCATATCCATTGCTCGAGGATGCTGGACTCGAGACATGGGCTGTGGACATTCTTGGATGGGGTTTTTCTGATTTGAGTAATGTTTTTCCTGCTTTTATATGTTTCTTATTGCTCGTTCAATTGGACTATTAGAAAATGTTGTATTCAACCTTTTTTACACTTCCAACTGGCTGACGTTAAATTTTTTGTTGGGGCTTCATAGAAAAGCTTCCATCATCTGGTGTTGCTGCCAAGCGTGAACATCTTTATCAGGTAACTGTGCACTTTTAGCATGTCATTTTGAAATTTGCTTGCTTGCAGGCATGCATGCATACGTACGGACACACACATGTGCGTACATACATGTATAGTGTAATTGTAATTGTCTGTCTTTTGTGCTGCATTTATGTACATACATTTATAGTGTAATTGTAATTGTCTGTCTCTTGTGTTGAATTTTGAGAAAACTTGAATGGCTCACCACACACACACACACAAACACGCACACAAACCTGCACACACTTATTCACACACATACATACATGTATAGTGTGATTGTAATTGTCTGTCTTTTATGCTGCATTTCGGGAAAACTTTAAACATTCGCCACACTATTGAATTTTTTGATTTACTAATTAATAAACTTCCATTCATGTTTTTTGTTAACAATGAATGGCAGTGCAACTATGGAAATCCTCCATGAGAGTATTATTATTATGGTGGCATTTGCATACATTGCACACATTACACAATTCTTATGTATTTACATATCTCACACCTAAACTTTCATATTTACACACACAGTACTTAAATCTTTAATATTACATAAAAATAATGCTATTATCGAGATATGTAAATTCATACGAATGGTGGGCTATGTATGTAAATTTCCCTTTATTATAATATTCTCATATATAAATCAGTAGACATCATTGGTGCTTAGTATTTCAATCATTTTGCCATATAGATAGCTACTGATTGCAATCTGGTAAGATGCAGAAATTGAAATTGTCAGGCTAGTTTTTCTTTGTGCTCATATGTGCTTGGGTATTATTTCTGCGGGGTTTCTTAATAATATTTGTTAAGCTTCTATGTTATTTTCATAATTTCCATATAGTTAAATCATAGTTAATTTCATCTTTAAAAGTATAGGCACAATTTAACCCAATTATGATGTAAAGTAGGCAATAGTTGTTTAGCGTTTCATCCTTGAGCAACTCACTACAACTTAAATCGATTGTGATGCAAAGTATGCAATGGCTGATTGGATATAAAAGTAAGATAGATTTGGTACATTGGATTTTTTATTTTAAATAGAAAGGCGAGAATTGGTGCATGAAGTTTCCGCTATCTCCATTTTCTTCTTGTAACGGCTTATTGCGACATTTATAAAACAAAGAAATCCAAATATCATTTAATGAAAGCCTCAACACAATGTGCCAGAGCTCTCGACATTGCCTTCATTTAAACAAAAATTACTGCAAAAAAAGCAAAAAGAATTGGTGAAGAGAGGAGGGAAGGAGAAAAAAGAAGAAAAAGTGAGCCCACCAATTAGTATTTTGTTCTATGAGGCCGTGGAAACAAAACATCGTACATTAAAAGCCATAATTACAAATATATTTTGTGAGATTTCACAAATTTGAGGTGTTATTATTTGTCAAATCATAAACTTATTGAAAAAAAAAAATATTATTCCATCATCTCCTAGGATAGCTCTTTTTTTGCAAAATTGATGATATGATCACCAAGTATGATGCATGGACACCTCTAATTAAAGTGTCGTGCAGTGTTGGGTCTGTATTGGACACAGACACAGCTCCGACACCGCTCCTACATGACTGACACGATTAAAAAGTGTCTGATTTAAATATTATTTTAAAAAGTCAGATACACATAGGACAAATGTATCATTTGACTTTAAATATTTTTTCTGGTATCATTTGACTTTTTTTTCTTCCATAGCTTGAGATACTAACTATTTGAATTCTCTGCCTATTAGCTTTGGAGATCACATATTCAGCGACCAATGGTATTAGTAGGTCCAAGCCTTGGTGCTGCGGTTGCCATTGACTTTGTAGTGCATCATCCTGAAACAGTAAATTATCAATCCTTGCATTACATTTGCTTCATCGTTTGTTTAAAATCTCTTGCTGCATAAAGTGTCGAGTATCTTTTGATATCATTTATCTACTGACCAAATTTTATCTATTTTGCTGATACGATCAGTATCTGGCATTTCAAGTGCTTTGTATTTTCCTCAATTTTTTTGTTTCCTTGACAGGTGACGAGGTTGATCTTGATTGATGCAAGTGTATATGCGGAAGGCACCGGAATTCTCAGTAAATTACCCCGAGCATTAGCATATGCTGGGGTAAGATCTATTTAAATGTTGGGTCGTTTTCGACTCTAAAACCACAGTTCGTAACTATATTTGCTATTTTTCAAAATAAGTTTAGATCTTTCAAACGTTATTATAATTTAATGATAAGTCTGCTATAAATATTTTTTCCCAGGTGTCTCTACTGAAGAGCACTCCATTAAGGTTTTACGCCTGTAAGTTGGCCTTCAAGAAGCTTTCACTTAGCAAATCATTTGACTGGACAAATGTAAGGAGTCTTTATTTGTTCCTTTTGGTAGCAAAGCCACTTAAATGGCTGTTTGTGCATGCTTCCAGTCGTGTTTTACATTTTCAACTTCAACAGATTACGAGCTTATTATATTATGGTATTTGTGCTCGAAATTGCCCCACACACACACACACACACACACACACAGACATACATACAGAGACATACATACATACATACATATACATACATACATACATACATACATATATATATATAGATACATACATACATATATAGTTTCTTGGCTGAGCCTATTTTATTAAACTATTGATTATATTATGGTATTTGTGCTCGAAATTGCCCCTTGTTTCACACACACACACACACACACACACACACACACACACACACACACACACACACACATACACACACACATATATATACATATA